ATCGGGCCGAGACATAGAGTTTGATGATGGTATGCGAGAAGCAAAGCTCATCACCGTAGTTTCTTGAGATATACTTGAACGAATTGTTTCGTTCTGAACAACAGTTTGATAAACACTATCAAGATCTGGAAGAGGTGAGATGGCGCAAATTTGGGATCGGATAATACCATGTGTAGCATCATCGAGGCCAGAGAGGAAGTCGTGAATTCGCAGTGTCTCACGTTCCTTGTCATGAGCAGTATTTAAATCACATTCACACTTACCACAGTTGCAGCGTTTTGAGTTCATACACTCAGAGATAGCATCCCAAATTTTGGTTAGTCTTCCAAAATAATCATCGATGCTGGATCCGTTCTGTTTGCAAGTTGCCAATGAATTGCGTAATTGTTGTAGTCTTGCTCCACTCTTGATTGAAAATCGTTTCTTAATGATGTCCCAAAGTTCTTTAGCAATTTCACGAGTAGATATAGATGAGCGTATCTTGGGGTCGATTGTTTGTTTAATCCAACCCACCAATAGATGATTGTTGGCGATCCAATCTTCGAGGTCAGGAGAATTAGCTGCTGGTTTTGGAATGCTTCCGTCAAGGAAGCCAAACTTCTTGCGCGAGCTGAGTGCCATACGGAAATTGATGGCCCATTCGTCATAGTTTGTACCAGTGAGCAGTGGTTGAGAGATTATAGCGCCAGGATTGTCGTTTGATGAGAGGTCATAAGGAGAGATGGTTTTGCGTTTTGGTTCTGTGGGGACGTTTGCAAGAGCCATGGTTCACAGATGAGCAATACGGAGATGATAATGAAGTCGATGAAGATGATGATGAAGGATGCTTCTGTTTTTCGTTTAGAAGAAAAAAACAGAGAGAGTAGGTCAAGATTTTGTGAATAAAATCGAGACTGGATGCCAAAGTAATCCTCTGTTTTCGTGAATGAGAACAGAGTTTTGATAATGATAAGAGGAATCAAGCTTAGAAGAGATCAAGCTTGATTTAGGTCAAAAGAAAAACAAAGGAAAAAAAAATTAGATCGTTTCTTGCTCTGATACCATGAGAAACTTTAAAAGGATGAATATATGATCTTATTGTTTCACAAACCCTTAGGTTTAGTATTTATACAACCTAGACTTTCCTGATTCTAAGGAGATATGAACTTATCTAGAATGGAAAATATACAATTCAGAAGATATCGAATATACATCTAATATTCGTCTAATATATCATCTTCTTAATAAATTTTTTAAAAGAGATTTGGATTTTCGTTTTGTTATCGATTTGTTGTGGGAAAATTTGAGATCATTCATCTTTGGTTGAGAGATATTAAGAGGAGTTGGACCGGACGAGAGATCTCCGGCCAATAAAGTTTGTCGGATTTTGGAGTAGAGAACTTCGACAAGTTGCGGTTGTGGAGAAATAATTTATAAACCCTGTTGTGTATTTTTCCTTTGAATTTCTTTCGTGTATATGGTTTATACGATACACCAAATATTGATTTTGTTGCGGTGTACGTATGTTAGACTTTGTACCATTTGCGAAGCGGTGTACGCCATATTTACAGATTTGTATATTAGAAACATGACATAGTTTTACACAATGTACTCTCTAGGAATTTGAAACATGGATCTGATAGTAGAAGATTGTGTTGTTGTATTATGTGAAGAGTCACCGATTACGTTGTTTATTTAAGGCTTTTGACGTAATGATCTTAAGTGAGTAAAAAGAACGCAAGCAGCTAGACAAAGAGAATAAGGACTTAGCAAAATTCCATATAAAGAGATTTGTTTCAAGATAACAATATGGAAATAATTATATGTATGTATATTTACTGGTGTACGCAAATTTTGAAACATAAAACAAGATAACAATATATGTAGTTACATAATTCAAATTGATGTAGCTTAGCTACGATAACACAACGATCTTGTTTAGTCTGAGAATGCCCAAGAGTCGAAGTCTTCTTATTCCGTTGAAAACACTCTTGTTCTTGCCGTAATAAGGATTAAGAGAAGATATATCTTCAATAAATTCAATAATAAAAGTTGTGTCTTACAATGAAGGAATCGAGTTCCTTATATAGAGAAAACCAACACCAATGAATTGTTAAGTTTCCATTAGCTAGAACCTAAATTAAGAGGAAAACTTCAACTCTTATTGCTAAAAGAAAAGGAAAAACAGAGCAAGAGAAAAGAAAGGAAAAACAGAAACCGACTTTATCACCCTGCATCAGTCACCCGGGGTAGAAAAAGATTCGACCTCGAATCGTCAACTTCATCATGAGCAACATATGGAAAGAGGTGCTTGACATTGAAGACATCCGGCGAACGTACATCCAGAGGAAGCTTGACTCTATAAGCATTAGCATTGATCTTCTCGATAATCTCTAAAGGACCTATCTTACGAGCTTTGAGTTTGTTGTATGTGCGAGCAGGAAATCTGTCCTTTGTTAAAACTGCCCAAACTAAATCTCCAACAAGAAAATGGACATCGCGACGATGACGATCGGCATCAACTTTATACTTAGCAGAAGATACTTGCAGATTATCATGAACTTCAGCGTGGAGTGAAGACAAGTCAGCCACAAACTCGAGAGCTTGCCCGTGATCACGTGTAATATCAGGTGCCACACCAAGATACAGGCCCGCGTGGAACAACACCATAAATCACGCGAAAGGGACTAAATTGCGTGCTTCGATTAACGGCATGGTTATGCGCAAACTCTGCTTTGCACAAGATTGAATCCCAAGACTTGATGTTCTTTCCCACCAAACAACGCAACATATCCCCTAAAGATCGATTAGCAACTTCAGTTTGACCATCCGATTGCGGATGATATGCGGAACTCATGTCAAGACTCGTACTAAGCAGTCTCCAAAGAGAACGCCAAAAATGACTCAAGAACCGTGAATCTCGATCCGAGACGATAGACAAAGGTAATCCATGGAGACGATGATCTCTCAAAAAAACAACACCGCCACTTGAACCGCATCCGTTGTCTTCTTACATGGAATGAAGTGAGCCATTTTCGAAAAACGATCTACGACAACAAAGATAGAATCATGACCACGTTGTGTACGAGGTAATCCCAAGACAAAATCCATGCTAATGTCGGTCCACGGTTGAGTTGGAATTGGTAGAGGCATGTAGAGACCACTATTAGAAGCATGACCTTTAGAACGCTGACATACAACACATCTTTCAACAAAGCGAGCTACGTCACGACGAATAGACGGCCAAAAATACGACTCCGTTAACAGTTGAAGCGTACGATCACGACCAACATGTCCTTCCTCATGAAGTTCTTTAATGAGCTGTTGCCGCCAACTACAATCAGGAACACACAACCGCCCTTCACGAAAGATAAACTCCTCGTGTAAAATGAAATCAGAACGAACTCCATTCTTCAAATCTGACCAAACACGACCAAAATATGGATCCCGTGGGTACAAATCGGCAAAAACAGAGAACCCGGGTACCGTAACATGTAAAGTAGCAAGGAGAGAATGACGACGGCTCAACGCATCAGCCACCTTATTAGTACGACCAGATTGATGTTTAATAACTGATTGCTCGAGTAATTAACTCAATACACTTAACCGTTAGGCAGTATATTCGAGGTCGATCCACAAGGACCAAAGATACTCTAAGGATTTTCGAGACTTGTTCTTAGCTAAAACTAAAAAGTTGTTTTGTTTGAGTTTTCCGAATTGTAAAATAAAAATGCAATTAAATTAAACGATTTAAGTTTCAAGATTTAAAGACATTAGGCATTAGGGTATTTCAGAGATCAATAAACAATGGAAACATGAGACAAGGAATTCAACAATTACGAACCGTTCTTGAACATGAACACAACTTAGACTAATTCTCTTTCAAGACATTAATCACTAAATTTGACTACTCGATTACTAAACTTTCGCATGTAATTTCCTAGTCAAATTCGCATTATCAAACAAGTTCATTTAGTTCACAATGCGTCCTAACTTCAACTTTCGTTGGCTAGAAATACATTGCTCAATTCACATTCTTTCAGGCATTCTATCGAACACTTTTGACGCATAGAAAAACCTAGGTTCTACAACAGGGTGATCAATCCTATTCTAGCATTAAGAACATGTGAATCAAGGAACCTAGAGAATGAGAATTCCAAACAACAATTAATCCATTAATCTATCGAATCTCCTAATTAGAACCCTAACACCTAATTAAAAGACTACTCACACATAGCGATTGAAACAAGACAAATAGATGTAAAAGAAAACATGCTTGAATTGATAAATAAAGAACAAGGGTTTAGAAATCTTCTCCAAAGTGTCAAAAAGGATGAATCTCTAGAATCCCCAAAAAGCTTACAAATAGAAGTCTCCAAAGTTGCAGAAAAGAAAGCGTAAAAGAAAAATTAGGTCTCTGGGGTTTTTATACCCAAGTACAAAAAAAAGAAGACAAAACCCGGTTTAGGAAAACCGTCTCGGGACGTCGAGGCTCGGATCGATCGATCCCATGGGTGGATCGATCGATCCAGATATGCTGAATCAATTGGTCTTGGACGGATGATGCTGGATCGATCTATCCCCCCTGGGATCGATCGATCCCGAAGCTCCTGGAGTCAAGCTCTGCACCTGCTTCAAATGCTCGCCAGATTGACCTGTCTTCACTAATTTGTGTATAACTCTTGAATGCACCGTTAGATTTCCTTCAAACTACTTGGAAAATCAAGCTAACATCTTAATCCAGCTTGTGTCAAAAATTCAGAAAGATCTAACTGTGGGAAGTCTTCTATCTGAGGCCAAACGTTTGATACTTCTAACCGAACTGCATCTCCAAATGTGTGTTTATATCCCAAAACAGCTCGTTTTCCTCCGAAGCAACCTAAAACCTGTTAAGACTCGATAAAAGACTAAAAGACTCTAAAAACACACTTTGACTCTTTAAAATATATGATCTAGGAAAGAAAACAAAGACTCAAAACCTATAAAAACACAACATATCAATAACAAAAGTAAATTGCTGAAGGTAGGCAATCCAAGATGCATGTCGCGCCGAAATTTTATCCTGACTTCCCAAATGCTTCAACGCATCATGATCCGTGTAAAGAATAAATTCTTGATGAAAAAGATAATGACGCCAATGCTTTATAGCTTGTATGATAGCATAAAATTCTACGTCGTAAGTACTATAACGAGCACGCGATCCCGCTATCTTCTCACTATAAAAGGCCACGGGACGTCCTTGCTGACTCAAAACGGCACCAATACCCAACTTGCACGCGTCACAATGTAGCTCAAAAACTAGAGAAAAGTCGGGCAAAGCAAGGATCTATGTTGAAGTAAGTTTCTGTTTGATCACTTTAAAGGCTGCCTCAGCTTCAGGAGTCCACACAAACGAAGAACCTTTCATGCAATCAGTGAGTGGAGCCGTGATGTTGCTAAAATGGTGAACAAAACGACAGTAAAACGAAGCAAGCCCATGAAAACTCCGAACATCACTAATTGTTTTAGGAACAGGCCAAGATTTAATAGCTTCCACCTTACTAGGATCCACCTGTAATCCTCGGCTGGAAACAATGTAACCAAGGAAGAGAACTTGATCGGAACCAAAGACACACTTATGCCGAGCGGCAAACAGTTGTTCCTTTCGTAGAACGTTAAGGACATCCTCCAAATGTGCTAAATGACTCGCCAAGTCTGCACTAAAGATGAGTATATCGTCAAAATACACAACGACGAACTTACCAATGAAAGGACGTAATGCTTGGTTCATAACACGCATGAATGTACTTGGCGCGTTGGAGAGACCAAAAGGCATAACCATCCATTCAAAGAGACCCTCTCTTGTCTTAAAAGTTGTTTTCCATTCGTCTCCGGGACGGTTACGGATTTGGTGGTAACCACTCTTAAGATCCAACTTAGTGAATATAGATGCACGTCCAATTTGATCCAAAAGGTCATCAAGGCGAGGAATAGGAAAACGATAACGAACCGTAATCTTATTTATCGCACGACTATCAACGCACATTCTCCATGAACCATCCTTTTTAGGGATAAGTAACGCCGGTACCGCTGTAGGACTCAAACTTTCCCGAACGTGACCTTTGATAAGAAGATCTTCAACTTGACGTCGCAACTCATCGTGTTCTTGGGGACTCATGCGGTAGTGAGGACGATTAGGTAACATTGCATTAGGCACTAGATCAATATGATGTTGGATGTCGCGAAGTGGTGGTAATCCTGTGGGTAAATCATCCGGAAACACATCACCAAAACGAGATAGCAAACTAGTGAAAGCAGGTGGAACCGTCGAATGGGAAGACACTGTTGCAGGTAGTGACACTAATGCCCATAATGCATCAGAATCGGTTAATTGACTTTCAAAGGCTGCCTTAGGGAGAATTAACAAAGATTTCGGAGCAGCGGGTTTTGACAATACTGATGTAGTAGTTGGAGAAGGAAGAGACGCCTCAGTCTGTTCTTTAGTCGGAACAAGTGTAATAGTACGATCTCCAAACAGAAAACTATAGGTATTAGCCTTACCTCTATGTGTTGTATCACGATCAAACTGCCACGGTCGCCCTAAAATAATGTGACATGCGTCCATAGGGACAATATCACAACACACTTCCTCTGTATATGTTCCTATGGAGAACGAAATTAAAGCTTGCTTGACAACACGAACTTCTGTTTTTGCATTGAGCCAAGCCAATGGATACGGAGATGGATGAGCGGTCGTCTTGATTCCCAATCGACGAATAGCATCGTCTGAAACAGCGTTTGTACAGCTACCTGAATCTATGATTAGCTTACAGATTTTCCCATTAATAGTGCAAGTGGTGCGAAACAGAGAAGTACAAAGCCATGACTCTGTTGGAGCGCGAGGAGTAAAACAGCTTCGCCGCAAAACAAGGATTGACGATGAATGACCTGTATCTCCCTCAATGAAATCAATGGCCGGCTCATTCTGATCAGACCCGTAATCGTCAAAGCGAGGTTCATCTTCAAAATCCACCTCTTGAGTCAATAAACCTCTGCGGGTTTGATTAGGACAAGCAGTTTGTCTATGTCCGTTTTCGCCATAACTAAAATAACGCAGAGCTCCTGTTCGCTGTGGTCTAGAAGCTGAAATTGAATCTGGTGGAGCTCCTTGTCTTGTTGGAATATTACGCGGAGCCGTTGTATCAGGAACTTGAGACGAACCAGACTCATTTGTTAGCTGTGTGGTGTAGCGAGTGCGTGATGATGAAGTGTTCCAGCTGTTCTTGTATTGAAGCTCCATCCCGAGGGCCCGTTGGTGTGCTTCCGAGACAGATGTTGGGTTGAATTGCTGCAAAGGAATTTGTAGTTGAGAACGGAGGCCACCAATAAAGCGAGAAACAAGTTGTTCGTCTGTTTCTGTAAGCGTGGTACGTGCCGCCATCTCAAAGAAATCTGAAGCATATTCATCCACAATACGTGAACCTTGTCGCAAGTTTTGAAGCTTAGTATACAAGGTCCTCTCATAATTGTAGGGTAGAAAACCCCGACGCATATACTTCTTCAATTTCTCCCACGATTCAATTTTAGCTTTACCTGAACGTCGACGAGATTCTTTAAGTTGAGTCCACCATGCCATAGCTCTACCTTTAAATCTCGTAGCCACAAGTGAGACACGAAACTCATCAGGAACTTTCTTAAAATCCAAAACTTCTTCCACCACATTAAGCCAGTCAAGAAACTCTTCAGCTTTAATGCCACCTGCAAACTCTGGAATTTCCAATCTGAATCCTGATTCCCAACGAGGAGTGTTGTTATTGTTGATGTTGTTGTCGCGTAGACGGAGCTGCTGGTCACGTGCTTGACGGATTGGAATTGCAAACAGATTGTCAACTACTTCCTCATCATCTTCTTCGTCAAACTCAACGCGTCGTTCCCGTCTGTTACCTTGCTGGGTTTGTAACACCGTTGTTAACGCATTCTCCACAGCGATTTGTAGTGCTTCTTGCAGTCCCTGGGTGAAATTCATCAAAGTTTGACGAAATTCTTCATGTTGTTCGTCATTAGTCTTTCGAGGAGCCATTGAACGTCGTCGAAAGCAAAGGATCGGGCTTTAATTGAGAAATTAAAGCGCTAGAATCTGATACCAACTGATGTAGCTTAGCTACGATAACACAACGATCTTGTTTAGTCTGAGAATGCCCAAGAGTCGAAGTCTTCTTATTCCGTTGAGAACACTCTTGTTCTTGCCGTAATAAGGATTAAGAGAAGAAATATCTTCAATAAATTCAATAATAAAAGTTGTGTCTTACAATGAAGGAATCGAGTTCCTTATATAGAGAAAACCAACACCTATGAATTGTTAAGTTTCCATTAGCTAGAACCTAAATTAAGAGGAAAACTTCAACTCTTATTGCTAAAAGAAAAGGAAAAACAGAGCAAGAGAAAAGAAAGGAAAAACAGAGACCGACTTTATCACCCTGCATCACAAATGCACGCAAGTTTACGCTTTTTTTTCGACATCACCCAAGTTTATGCCACTGTGGGTTGCTTTGTATTGTTCTGGAAAGTCTCAATATGGAAATATAAGAACCTAATAAAGAAACAAATCATTCCTTAAAGAGTTTCCTCAAGGTACGGTCAATGAACTTTCTTATAGCTAACGGTTGCAAGTCAAGTTGTAACATCCTCACTGTTTGCTATGAACTAAACTACTACAGCCGGATAGTGATTTCGGATGGCGGTGCAGGTGGGATTGGAACCGGTTGTGGATTTTCTGCTGCAACCAAAGGCTGTGTGATTCTTGGGGCATGCTTATTGAAATCATCAAGTATACTCTGCTGAGTGGCTTTCGTAAGACCCTGCAACATCAAATATGTTACACCTTTCTCTAAGGACCTAGTACATTAAGATACCTGTTTTGGCTGAATATAAGAGAGGATTTTCCAGACAGTGAAGAGAATGTTACTGGAGGAGGATGTTAGTGTGAGAGTAATCAAGTATGAAAATGGATTCAGAATGCCAAAATTGCCTTAAGGTCTAAGATGCGCTGAAGCTTCATGTGTGTTCCTTTTGGAAACAGTGCACTATATGTGTTTGCCACTGAATCGATTGGGGAGAGTATGACCTACAGTAAGATGATATTAGTTTTCAGAGAGCATAGAGACTAGAGAGAGGTAGGAAAATAAAAGTTGTCTCGATGGTGCTCAGGCGAAAACCTTTAGGACTGCTTCAGCTCTGCTCATTTGACGCTTCACGAATTCCGAATAGCTTGCAGCACTTACAGTCTGCAATGCCATTTCCAAAACAAAACAAAAAGTGACCAGCTTCGGAATCATAGAGTATCATAAATGCTTTATAACTTTGGCCAAGAATACCCAATGCTTCATGGTTAACAACGATAGATACAGAGTCCCCAACAGAGGCACTGATACATAAACTGGAACTGATGAGCTAACCTGTCTGTCAAGAGATGGAATATTTAGAAGAATCATCTCCATGGCTTGCGTATCTAGCAACATCTGTGAAAAAGACGGAGAAACATAAGGGCTCAGAAACATAACATGGGACACGGATCTCAGGCATCTACACTGTTTGCATGCAAAGGATTATCCTACCATGTAAACCCAAACATAGTCATTTTAACAATAACAAAAGCAGAAAAGCTGAAAGAGAAGGATTTGATTCCCAACAGTAACTAGAACCACCGCATAGATGTTTGAGTAGCTCTAGTCTTTGCATATACCTAGGTCCTTTTTTCATATGGAACATGATTTCAGCCAAGTCTTTGCATATACCTTATAAACTAGCTAGATCACAACAGAAACTACAAATGGAGAGAATGAAGCCCATGCAAATTGGGGAACATAAAGCACAAAGGCTAACCTGCTGAGCTCCAGTTTCTGATATTTTCTTGCATCTGAAAATATTAGCATAGAACCGTAGCCCAAGGGATGATGCCAACTGTACACAAAATTTCGGAAAAAGGTGGTCATCTGTGAAGTTTGCCAATGCATAACCCCGTTAACGGTTAATGGCAATAGCTTTGGGCTATAGCAGTTCAATTCTTGGTAGAGTAATCAAGTAGAATAAGCATCTATCACACATTTTATTTAGTTATAAGCAAGGAGTTGGTCCAGGCTCAACCCCTGTATGATATATAATAATGCTGATACTAATCGGCTATACGGCAGCAAATAGCAATCATCGGATTTTATAAAGGCATTTAAATCTTACTATAAATTTACCTTTTCCAGGAAGAATTGGAAGTAAACTGGTGTTAGAAGTTCCCCGAGGACAGGAACGCTGTTTTTAAGGATTGTATATATTCCATTTACGTACCTACAGATTTCAAATTGTTGGTTGTATATTGGTCATACTGGTTGTCTATAGAAGCTTTTAACCCCAGTTAGATCTTACTGAGAATGGTCACCAACACTCTCAAGTGTGCCCCATGAAACACGTGCCATCTCTTGCATTTCTGTGTCAAATTTAGTTTCCAGTCCACGGACTAGTGTCATCAATGCTTTCGTTATGACGCACGAAAATTTATCCTGCACATTACCATAGTTTAAGAAAAAATCCAAAATACATATTTGGGAAAAATTACAAGTCCTTCATGTCAATAGTACCTGGACCTCTGACATGTCTACACCATCTGCGTAATGCGGGTCAATAATTGTTGAGACTTCTTCTGCCAAGTCACCAGACTGCAAAAACAATAAAAAATCCTTGTGAAGTGCCAAGTTGTTGTTCAATTAAGCAGTAGATAATATCTTTGCCAATGTACAGTATGAGTATTATATATATATAAAAGAAAGTTGCAAATAAACTGTTAACAACCTGCAGGCCTTGAATGGGAAGATCATTACTTAAAAGGCGGTGGAGTAAGATCACATGACAACAGCATAGAAAAAGTAACTAGACCCATGAAACTTGATGTGACAATCATCAATATCATAACTGGTCTTTCTACAACATACTGGCTTAAAATAATATTAGAACCATATGATACAACCCCAATTAACAACAAGCAAGGCCACACACATATACATATATGTGTAAAAAGTCAAACAAGCTTACTGTTTTGCAGCAATACTCAGCAGAATTAACTATGTAACATATCACCCTTTCATCTATCCCCGAGACCTGCATAGGGGAATTAAGAAAAAAAAGCTTAACAACATCGAAAAGCACACATGGTAAACAGAAAGCAGGAAGCTATGCACATCACCTTTATCTGTTTATGAGTGCCTCCTGTGGAGAGCTTAAAAAATAGCTTTGTAGCATAGGCTTGTAGAACTCGTTGAAAGACCTGTAAAGAGGAAAGCCTTTCATTAGAAGAAACTCAAAATCTCCATCTATCTATACTATGGGACCGTGAGTTAGTATATGCATATCACTATATTGGTACCTTGAATAACTTGAATAAAGTCAGGTTCTTAGTCAGAGCTTTACACTTGTCATAGCTTTTCTTTATAGCCAAAAACAACTGCAAACAAGCATATATCAGAACAATCACACAACTCTATTTAAAGAAGCTTGCCTGGTTACTCACCTCTCTACTGCTAGATAAAATATTATTTAGATTTTCCTCGTCAATATCCCATGTTTCCTCCTGACAGAAAGAAAAATGAATATTAGGTAAACTTGATAAGCTTCGGTTTCTTTAAGCAAATATATCAAATTACCTGAACAACTTTTTCCAGGCATTGCATAAGTTCCTCCTCAATATAAGGGATTAAATGAGGCTCGAAGCAAGAAGAGATAATTCCACGGAAGTTAAACTGCCAGGTCAAGTAACTAGTGAGCAATCATTCAAGTGGATAACATGTCACTGATTTTCCAGGTATGGAAACTCCAACAAGTTGCAAGTCTCATAAGATTGTGCCTATAAACTAATAAAAGTTGAGCCACTTTCAATTGTTCTCTAAAGAATTCCAAAATTGCAATAGGAATTGTACAAAAGAAATGACTGGTGGTGCACACAACATCTGAGATTAGAGAGGGGAAAATTACTAGAAGTAAGAGATATACCCTGCCTCCAGAATCAGATAAATCTTTGATTCCCGTTTTTTGCTGTTGAAGCAGAGGCAGCAAAAAAATTTAGAATGAAGTCTTCAAAAAATTACTAGCGTTTTTCAAAATATAAAAATAAGTACACAGAACATACAGTTTCCACCAAGTCGTGATTAGCAGCAAACTTCATTTCATACATCATGTGAATTTCGGATACATTCGGACTATAATTTTCCCCGTCAACAGTTTCCTCAATGTCATCTCCGATATTCTTAGTAGGAACACCACCACCAAATTTCATTTCAAGTTCCAGTTCAAAATTTAGCGTCCTTTTCAGTTCCTAATCATTCAATGACATCAAAATTTACTAGAGGCCCGAGACATTCCACTATTGCTAGTAGAGAGAATTTGATAACATAATGAAAAGAAACAAGATTTGATGAAAGAGAAAAGGAGGGACACGATAGAAGAATTTATAACCATCATTTAGAAAACGCTCATATAGAAACACAATCCAACTGGTAAATATAACGAAATTTTCATGTTAGGGCAAGCATGCCTGACCTGAAGCAATCTCGCTACAGTTGGCTTCTCTTTCATGTTAACCATAATAGATTCTACTTGGTCCCTGAAAATAAATAATGGAAAGGCAGGCGGTTAATCATTATCTACATATAGTTAGATAATGATTAAAAGTTAATACCGAGGCTCAATTTTCACAGAAAAATGACCAAAATCAGTAAAAGAATAGAGATACAAACCAAAGAAAGGTACACAGAACATGTCAAATTTTCTGAAGACTCCAAGAGAAAAGAATATGAATTTACGAGAGGCCAGTTCAACAAAACTCAGAAGTTGCTACCTTGTTATCTTGCACATCTTGATGCACAGTCCATAAGGCACATGCCACGAAGCAGGAAAAATCTTCCAAATTTCTTGATTTGTTCGGATATGACAATTTATCTGATTGTATATCCGCTGTATTTCATCCAACTTTGTCAATTCTGCCAACAATTAAGCACTTCAAATTACAACAAAGAAAAAAAATATAAAAATTCCAACTTTCAGTGCAACTTATATAGGGACGTTAAGTCTAACATACCAGCTCCTAAAAACTTTTGTTCATATGAGGTAAGCTCCCTGCTGCAAAAGTTGGTTACCAACTCTTCCCTCACAGATGGCTCCAACGCATCGACAACCAAGCAGGAATGGGATAACTTCTTTAGAAAATTTGTTTCCTCTGTCTCTTTCCCAGTACCTAGACTGATATCACAACAGTAGACATTATTGGAACAAGGAGGGCCGTAGAGGATGCGAGAGGGGAAATTGAGAGATTAGTGAAACATCTTAAGACAATTTGTGGTTTACTACAACATGAAGCAGAAAACAGCCTATATGATTATGCAAGTACTATTTTAACAAAAAGAGAGCAGCCAATAAAAAAGCCCTCCATTTATACACCAAGAGTGCAAAATCATCACCTTAGTACCAACAGTTAAAACATACAAAAAAATCCTCTTGAGGTTGAAGAAAAAGAAACTAAGAAAGAGAAGTATCGTCAAACACTAACATTACAGTGAATCTCTTTTTACCACCTCTGTGGACTTACTTAAGTATGTAAAATATGGTAGACTCAGTAAAGGCTGTACCTGGAAAAATCAGAAAATACATGAGACTTAAGAAGTTGCTTTATATTCTCAAGCTTTTCTCTGACATCCGTTATGATAGGAACATCCCAATTCCTTTCGAAATGATTCAATAGTTGGTTTACGGCCTGAAAACAAAGATCATAGGGTCAGAAAATGTGCTAGAAAATCCACCTAGGTAACCTAAAATCAAAAATTGATTTTCGAAATGGCAAAGAACTGCCTTGGGCTCCCATGGTGAACATAAAGCTAAAGCAAGTGAACTACGACCAACTTAAACGTAACCAACAAATGCCAAAGATTGTTTAACTAAAAAAAGGTACCTCGAGCTGGGCAGCTGCCTCCTTGTATTGCCTATTTGACGCCATCCCCTGAAGCTGTACAACGGCAGAGACTGCCATAGTGTGGTTGTGAGTGTCATTAATGAGCTTCTAGTACATTAAGTTACTACATAAACAACAGCATACATTCACTAATAGGTTAACAAGAAACTTCATGTTGCCTAACTTGGAACCCCTAATTATATAGGGTTTGTTTTGTAATACAGTTCAATACTCTTGGCTATCATTCAGATTTCAGGATACCATGACCCGATATGGTGAAGATAGTACTGAACTAGTCGAATGGAGTGATTACTGATAACTTACCTAGCATTGTGAGGCGATGGATGGGAGTGATTACCGTGGTTATGTTCTTCTTTGCAAAATCTAACTTCTTGATGTCACGGCATATTTCTTGGACCGTTGCTTCACTTTTCTCATCATTAGAATTTATCTCTTGAATATTATGAGAGAGTTCCTGGGTTAAAAAGACAAGAGTGATAAGAGAATGAAAGAAGGAAACGATATCTTGAGAGTAGGCATACATACAATATATATCAACCTATGAGAAACTAACCCGTGCAGCAAGTGTAGCATTAGCAAGATCTTCTTTAGCTTTATTTACCGAGTTACGCTGGAGTAATGATAGCCAGACCCAAGGAAAAGATTCAGAAGCACATAGAAGCAAAATTATACAATACAATGATTTACATAAGGTACACATCAACAACAAGAATCAGAATAAGTGATAAGACTACTCAAAAAAATGGTCCAGTATAAAGAAACAAAACAAAAATGAGGAGTTAAAAACTTTCGTAAAGTTAAAACATATCTATAACCTCACATAATAAGCGACCAGGAAGAAAAAGTAAAACAGAGCTTACCTGTTGACGAATAGCAGCAAATAGAGTAGCATCCACCCGCCGAAGTTCACTGTTAATCTTATGAAAAAGTTCCTGTGTTATAAAGAATATACAAATTGTTACACTTTACGAATGAAATGAAAAAAACAGATTGATAAGAGAAACAAAACAAGGAAATGATATCTTGACAATACCAATACAACACATATCAAGCTTATGAGAAACTAACCTCGGAAGCACATGTAGCATCCGCAAGATCCTCAATTGTTCCCAAGTCACTCTGGGAGACCAAAAAATAAGTTTCAGATGTATACATTATTCTTTCAACATATAATTCTTGTACAGTAAAAACATTTACATAAATTCAAGAAAGAAAGAAAAAAAAAAGATTCATCACCTGTGGACGAACAGTAGCTAGTATGGTAGCATCAATCTGGTGCATCTCATGATGAATCCGTTGCATAAGTGGCTTAAGGCCAAGTAGATATGCTTCTGTAAAAGAAAACACTAGACTCACATTCCCGCGACAATCATAGTTAAAATCACGATATCAACAAAGAATCACCTGCTGGGAACATACTCGAAATTGGCGATCTGCAAACAAAGGAGCAAAAGATCAAAAACGAGTTCACAAAATCTTTAAAAAATTCAAAATTCTCGGAAAAACACAAGAACCTATAAGAAAGCGAGGTACGAACTTGTCCACTAATCGACGCCGATAAACAACCGAAGCTCGATATATGCGTATCCCAGTCGTCAAAAGTACTTTTCAAGTCTTTTTTTTTCTTCTGTTTTTTTTTGGTAAACACAAAAGCCAAAAAAATTAATACAGTAAAATCTCTATAAATTAATGATATTTATACTTATTATTTTGTTTCATTGTTAAATTCCTAGAAATATATAAATAAAATTAATGTTTCTATGTTATAAACTAGAAAATTTAATATTTACAGATAAGATAAAATAAAAATCTTTTTTGATAGATAAAATAAAACAAAGACTTACTTAATTATGGAACGTGGAACTAAAGTCAATTCTTTAAAGATTAGACTGGTTTTTGGTATTCTTAAAATAATTCACAATCTCTTGTTATTCAATCAACAATTTGTAAAATTCATAGCAAATCTACTATTATTAAAAAAAATCATAATTTTTCTAGAATAGGCTACTAAAAGTGATTCCATAAGACTTTTTACCTTTTTAGTTGAAAAATATGACTGGAAAAATCACACCCCTAATGGTGAAACAATTTTTCTTTTGTTAGTCCATGTATATAATATTAGAATAAATATATTTTTCTTATTTATGTTAACAACCACAAAATGAGATTGCATATATTTCGGTTCATAAATGAGCCGTATCTAAAATGTATATTATTTGAGTTAAGTAAGGATTAGCTATTATTTTGAGTTAATTTAGAGGTGGTGTCGATCGACACTTGCACGAATTTTGGTCTCCGGATTGCTCGCGCAACATAACTTCTCGGTTTTGCTTCCGAATGATCCATAATCTCCAAATTGGTCCCGAACGTGTATAAACCTGAAAAGACTCAAAAAGACACTAGAAACAACAAAAAAGACTCTAAAAACTACATATATCATGGCTAAAAACGGTAAAATTCATGATATATCATAGAACACAATTTGGCTAAGGATGAATTTTAACCCAAACACCGTCCATGGTAGAAATGTGATTGACTTCACAAAGGCTGATGTTTTTCACTCTCTCACGTTCTGTTGACTGTTGTTGAGCATTTGATGTCCAGAATTGTTGGAGTTTGTGGATAGATTTTTAGCCTTTCTTTCAGCTGTGTGAAGAAGAATTTTTTGAAAGAAACTTACATTATCTGCTTTTCTTCTACAAGGTCTGAAACAGTCCAACCTTGGGTTTCAAAGGTATAGCCATAACATTTATTCGGCTTAAAGATTCGAACGGAAACTTTCTGTGGAAGGATTGATGGACTGGACATAAGGACAATAAAACACTTTTTCAATGAAATAACTGGATGACCAATAATGTTTCCACTGCTCATTCCTCTTAGCAGTATAGTAGATCTCTAAGTAAATAGGAGTATGACGTCCTCGTACTTTTCTGTTTCCTGGAACAAAGTTAGTAGCTATAACACACGCATGAAGGTTTTCTTCACGAGGGTCACATGTGATCACACCATAACGGAGCAGACATAGTAGGTTGTTGACCGTGAGAGCTGGTAGTTGGTACTATCCGAATTGTGTACAGAGCAAAGATACCAAATCCTTTTAGGAGTCGATCATTGACTCCAATAAAAGAATTGGCATATATGGTTCCACTTGAAGTTGATATTTTTTGGGTGGATGCAAAAAATGTTGAGGTTATAGAACTTAGTAACTTACAACTATTAGTCATTTAAAACAAGGAGAAGAAGATCAGATGTTTTAACTAGCGGTAATATGATAGTAATGATTATTTTGTAGTAAATAAGTGGTAGTAATTTTGGATAATATTCTCTCTAATGTAGGATATATTTATTTAACCATGAAATCACACCAAAAAAATAAGAAAATGTTTGTGCCAGCGACATATAATTCTAAAATAAGGCGGAATTTAGTTTTGGATATTCGAGTATTTAAAATTTTCAAGTAAGTGTCGGTTATTTATTCCCATCAACTATAAATGCGATTATTCCTCAAAATATTATCATAAAAAAATAAAAAAATCTGGCCAAGTTTATTTGAGTGTTGTGGTTTGGGTATACCGCGGCCTCTACCTCGATTACGACCAAAGTCGGGTCGGCGGCCTTAACCATATGAATGATTTCCTTGATCATATAAATTATAATTGCCACTTCTACCATGTCCATTCCATTTACCATGACTGTGGCCATGATACTTATCTCTTTGGACGTGGTTAGACTCTTTAGTCTCTTTAGGCTCTTCAGCCCAACGGGCTTCTGATAATAGGGTAGGACCAGGAGGTCTCATTTTACTATTTATAACTCATTGTTTTGCTCAGCAAGTAGCAAAACAAGAGTTTAGACTTGCATATGTGGTAAAAACCTTTTTCACGATATTGTTGCTGAGGCAATATATTGTTTGTGTGAAAGGTCGAGAATGCTTTCTCTAGCAAGTCATTCTCAGTAACTTCCTCACCACGGAATCTCAGTATTGACATTATTTTAAATAGTGCTAAATTATACTCATTCATGGATTTGAATTCCTGGAATCTGAGATTCTTCCGATCGAATCGGGCTTTTGGGTAATAGCACCGTTCTTTGGTGGTTATATTGATTTTTTTTTTTCAACTCTGTCCTGAGGTCCAGAAGATTCTTAATAGTGAGGTACTGATTTTGAGACTCTCATTGAGGTGATGGCGTATGTTAGTAATCGCCTTATATCTTTCTCTTCTGGTGACATTGTTTCCTTCCACAATAGATTCACCAAGCCCTTTTTCCTTTAGGACAATCTCAGTGTCCAAAGCCCATTGTAAATAATTGTCACCAGAGACATTAAGTGCCGTGTATTCATAATAGTTGATTTCTGATATCTATAATATATAGAGTTAAATGAGAACTCATGTAATCGGTTAGACCAAGTCATGCGGTATTTAAGACCGAGCCATGCTTGTCTTCAGCAAGTGTTTTCTAAACAATCATGTTATATATATATGGATGAAATCAACCCTAGAAGATTGATCTAGTATGCAACAACCAAACAATCGGATCATACTAGATTAGGATATTAGGATTTCGCGGTTAAGTTTTAGGGTTTTAGCATCTATGATTTATAGTACTAGGGTTTTGCTAGGGTTTCGGTTTTATGTATGGAACTTTCTATTTATGGAAAGTTTCCTTATATGGAAACTTTCTATTTCTCATCTAGAAAGAAATCCTAAACAAACGTGTACTTTAGAGTTTTGGAATATTTCCTTATGAAGGGGTTTCCTATTTTGGTAACTTTCCATTTTGGGAAACTTGCTATTTTAGGAAACCTTTTATTTTGGGAAACTTGCTATTTTACGAAACTTTCTATTTCTGGAAACTTTCCTTATATGGAACTTTCTATTTATGGAGATTTTCTATTTATGTAAACTTTCTATTTCTGGAAACTTTCCTTATATGGGAAACTTGATCTTAAACCGTGACTTAGGGTTTATTAAACCGGATTAACCTTGGATTTAGGGTTTCGGTTTACTTTCGGTTTAACCTAGGGTTTATATTAAAACATTCAATCTATCATGCCATGCATTAAACATCTTTCCATTCACTAACTTCTCAATTAATTCTCCAATCATAAATCAAATCACATATGCCAATTTTCATGCAAATTTTATCTTATCAAACTTTAATTGGATCATGTATATAAAGCATAATAAATAAATAGCACTTATCTTAATTGGAGAACTGAAACAGAGACCCGAGATCTGATACGGAAATTGGAAACAGTTATGTCTCTTAGCTGGTTGGGACCTGCTACAAAATCTCAATATATATAATCCTGATTCCTGAGAAACTCAAAATTTTGCTCATGGAAACATGGCTAAAGCAATAATCAATGATAAAACATTAAAAGATCAGAGATCAAACAATTGTCGAAACAATAAACAAACAGGTTTCGGTAAGATGTTAAAGCAATAATCAATGATAAACCAATATATGAACATGAGTAAAATCTATGATTCAACCATGATGAAGCATCAAAGTAAATTTAAATTTCAGGACTCAAATCATCGATTAACTAAAGTAACGATTAAATATTTACTAATGTTGCTTGAAAGCCCAGATTCCAAAAAATAAACATAATAATTCAAATTGATCAAAAGAACAATGACCATATATACGCATGTATGATTTTATAATATAATAAACAATAAAATAATAATTATGTCTTTGAGAATTAACATTCTAATGTAACGAACTTGTGTTTAAGAACATGCCATTCTAATGCCTTATTATATCAAACCATAAAGCAATAGAATTTGAAGCAATAAGATTAAGAAAATAAAGCCCATGTAACGAACATGTGTTCTCTATCATATGTGTCGATCGCTAGTTACTATAGATGAAGCAAAAAGATTTCCATTTAAATAAGATTAAGTAATGCATGTGTAGATCTATATAAAGTTCCGTCAACAACAATTATGTACTATGTAATATATTAAACATGAATCAATCGAATCTAAGTAATATGGTGGACAATGACTTAGCTCGATGATTATGGTTTCGGAGAATAAAGAAGGAGACGTTATCGGAAACGCAAACTGGACGGAGACGGTGTTGGAAAGATCGGAGAACTTTTAGTTCTAAGTGATTAGGATTTTCTTAGCTCAGACGGTTAAGGCTTTTGGTTTTTGTGAGAGAGATTTAGGGTTTCGGGATTTTTAACTTTTAGGGTGAGAGGCTATCGTGCTGATAACGTGTTGTGAACTGTGTCTTTCATTAATAGAATAAGGGATATATATACAAGGATAATAGCAGGATACAGAGAATAAAGTAAAACCCTAATGGGCCATGGGCCGGTTATGGAATCCATCCATATGGTTTATAACAACTTTCAAGTAATATCTCAAATATTGTTAAAGATTTAAGTCATCTAGATTAGTGTTGGAAAAAAAACCATGATTTGCAAGGAATATTGTTAAAGATGATTAGTCATCTAA